ACATAAAGTTTGACATGTGTGATGTCATGTCAGGGTGGTTGAAACTAGATAACTTTCAAGTCCCTTCCAATTTAAACAATTCTATGAATCTATGATTCGAACTCCTGAAGAGGTCCTTAAAGGCAAACTAAATTATAGAAGAGGAGTAAGTGGCAGTAAAAACAGTTTGCAGAAGCATGCCTTTCCTAGTAGAAATACATTAGGTTAATGGCCATTCTTGACCTCTTCATTTTCTTGCTTGGCCATGCTTGGATTTAATAACTAGTGTGATGATCATGAATATTATAATTACACAGTCTTAACTTCTAACCATTATTTTATTGTAGATATATAACCAGATGAGATGGAAATAAGTCCATAAACAGACCAAAACTGTGTTTTATTTAGAATGAGACTTTGTAAGTTAATTAAAATCATTCTTAGGTGGGATTTATTTCTTTCTTCATTAAGCTGGCTATTCTGCAAAGGTCATCAGTTTATCCACATATGCTATATACAGATGAATATACAGAAGCAGATTTACCATCTGAATAGGTACACTAAAACTGAATAATAATAACCCTTTCATCATCCTGACCTTGTTTAATTGTCCTGCACCAAATGCCCATAAATATGTATATATGAATATAAAATTCATGCATAGAAAAAGCAAACTGGCAACTGTAATTTAGGGACTGAAGCATGGAGATCTGCAAAATACAGCATTTTAGAAAGAGGAGCCTGAAGATTCTGATACAGTCMATTTTTATTCATGTAATTTTTTATGAATTTAGGTCAGACCTTCATGACCTGTTAAAAAATACCTAGTAGTCTATACATGCACAGTTCAGATACCCAGTTTTTCTCATTTTCATTCTTAAATTTGTTGCAGAATATTTTACCAGAGAGGAAGGTTTATCACAGCATTATCACCAGGAGAAGGAATGATCCTATAAGCATGGTTTTCACCTTCTGTTCCCAGTGCTTAATTCACTCCTCATAGAAATGAATACATCTGTAGACAAAATATTCTKGTTCAAACACAATAGACAGTTACCTTTATTAAAATGAAGGGAAATTTATCTGGGGATTCTAAAAAGTAAAAATGTAATAACAATTCTACATCTTGTATCTGTATCACAAACAGCACTGTGATATGCTTTAACAKTTATGAACAAGGTTCTGTAGGTAATTACTTATACACCATTAAAATACTGATATTCATAAAGCCTATAAGCACACTAAAATCCAACCATCTTTCCTATTGTGTGTAAAAAAGGCACTCTTGGATAATTCTTGCATCAGGAAAGTTTTGGCCAGAAGTCTATAACAAAACCTCTTCAAAAATTGTCAGGAACCCTTTTATCTCAGGATCTAAGGCATTTGCTGTCAGAAGTTATTAATGGCTTTGATGATTTCTACAGTTTTGGGGCCAGTCAAGGAGAGATTTCAACAGGTCAGGTTTCAATGGGTGATTAGCACCTCCTGGACTGTCCTGAAACATCTTTGTTAGCAGGACCATGCAGTAGTTCTTCCCAGAATTTTTTTAATCTATATTTCTGTCTATCTTTCTATCTATCTATCTATCTATCTATCTATCTATCTATCTATCTATCTATCTATCTATCTATCTATCTATCTATCTATCTATCTATCTATCCATCTATCATCTATCTATCATCTACCTACCTTCCTGCCTATCTTTAACATTGTAGCTGAAATAGGCATACAAATTAAAATGTTTCATTCTTGATGTTTTCTGTTCCTGCACTCCCTCTTCTGGCTTTCTAGAATTATCTAGCAAATATCTCATATCCGTGTCTTATGATCCACTCTGATTTTGCTTGTAAGCGCATCAGTTGAAATGACAAGGTGTACTTTCATAGTAGACAAAAAAGGGACATCTACCAAACAAATCAGGAAATTGCAATAGCAGCCAAACTCGCCTACATATCCATTCTGAACAGAGGTTCCCTGGACTTTTGTAGAGCAAAAGTAAGCCCAATTCTTCAGGCAATAGCGGTCAGACTGTGGGTGTTAGATAGGGATAGAGATCAAGGGAAGGTTTCAGTGGAGTGCTGTCTCCAGTTTTCTAGCTTGTTCTCTTGAACAGTGCAGTAGAATTTCATACTGATTTTTTGTTTCCCCAGAAACAAGTAGAATTTTTTTTCACAAGTTTTCCTCTAAACTGTGTTACAACAGCACTGGTAAATAAACATTCTCCTGCACTGTTCAAAATCCAACTATTATGGTAATATACAGCTGAAATCAATTTTAATGATTTTCATTGCTGAGCCTGASAGAAAATTAAAACACAGAGAATGAAATTTTGCATTTTAAGTATTGTTCATTCTTAATATTCTTCAAACATCTTTTCTCACACCATATATCTGTCTTTATCTCCCTTGTGACCATACTGAGAAACTGATCTGAGCTAATATTGGAAAATTAGGTAAAGAACATGCACACCTCATGTTATATTTACAGTGCCCTTTTCTAAGTTGTAAACACTTCTGGTTTCTATGTGAAGAACCAAAATGCATGTAACAAAYGCAGGAAAAAAGTCTCAGGATTTTGGAAACTGTTCAAATGAAAACTGCATCACTGTTTACTTGCTGTGGATATTATCCCTCTTTTATTAAACTTTGTGCATCTGTAAGGCATCTTGAGATAGTTTGATAAGTGTTTCCAATGTATTTAGTAAGAAATATGTTACATACAGACTTCACATTTTCATTGTTGGAGTTCTACCTTAATAAAGCAATATGAAAATGTGATTCAAAAATATATATTTAACAGGGAATCAGCATATCCATTTCAGTATGCAAAGTCCGGCTTCTCTATGAATTACCACATTCAACAAGGTCTCTCAGTGTCTTTAGAGACATGTTCTTTGATTGAAGTGACTTCCTGCCATGAAGAAGTTTCAGAATGCAGAATGGTGATGTTTCCTGCCACAGCTCACTCAGTGTTCGCTGCTGTCACCCCCTTCCATACAGCAGCCTGAAAAGTACTGGAAGAGGGGTGACCAGGCAGGGAGTTTCTATCTGAAAAAGAGATTCCATGGCTTTGGGGTGCATGTTTATTCCCTGTGATTTAGTGGAATCTCTGCCCTAGTCCTATACATATAGCCATCTGCGGCTCAGGTATGTCATGCCATTTATTGCCTCACAGCGCTGTATTTGCTCAGATCTAACATGAAGAGTTTGCTTAGGTCTGGTGTATTGCTGCCATAGTGCATTACAGTCTAACGAGGGAATGAAGTACCGTTCATCTTCTGGAAAGTCCCCGGCAGTTCTGCTGGGTATAAAATTCTAGTAAGCTGCTGTGGGACTTTCAGAGCAATGAGCCTSTTAAATGTCAGCTGATGCATAACAGCGTTATTGTGGTTTTAGGACCTGGGTGCTGCTGGAGAGTGGTCTTATGAAAAATCACTGGGAATTATTCACCTGCATAAAGATCCTCTTATACATAATTATATGCGAGCTTAGGATCAATAATTTTGCAAGTTTTGGTTTTCATGTATGATGGGATCGTCCACCATAAGTAAATTTTGTTATGCCACACAATAAAAGTTGCTGTAACACAGCCGGGTTTCATGGCTATCTGCTCTTACCAAAGCCAAATGTACACGACTTCAGGGAAAAAAAAAAAAAAAAAAAAAAAAAAAAAAAAAAAAAAAAAAAAAAAAAAAAAAAAAAAAAAAAAAAAAGAAGCCCAACACCACCCTCACTATCTAGTGTTAGGTGTTAGAAGATACAGTTTGATGTCTTGCAGGGTCACATACTCTGTGTAGTTCACACAGTAACTGTTGGTTAAGGCATTAAACAATAATAATAAAATAAAGCTTATTGATTAATCTTTTATTTCAGGAAGATGGAGAACAAAATCAGAGCTCTGATATTTGACTTTTCCGGCCAGCGAAAGCCACGAGTTGGGCACTCACGTCTCCCGGGCGCTAGCGGGCCGCGGGGATGCTGAAGCGCCGGGCCTGGGCAGCAGCCGGTACCGAGTGGTGGAGCCGGGCAGGGGGTGCGGAGCGGGGCAGGGGGTGCGGAGCGGAGCAGGGGGTGCTGAGCGGAGCAGGGGGTGCGGAGCGGGGCTACAGCCGCCCCCTCCCGGCGGAGCCCCGGCCCGGAGCGTCCCGGCTGGGCTGGACCGGCCTCTCCCGGCGTCTCATTCGCTTCGGGGGCGAACACACGTTCGCCGCASCGTGCCCGCCGCAGGGCTGCTCAGCGGCGGCGGCTCTTCGGGAATAGAAATAGCTATTCGAAAGGCGAGCGGGTAGCCCCARATCCCTCATTTAGGAGCTGCAGGAGGAGGGACGCCAGCCTCACCCCCGCGCGGGGGAAGCGGAGCGGCAGCGGGCGGAGGAAGGAGCGGGTGTCGCCCCCCGCCCGCAGGTGCTGCCGAGCGCGGGACCCCTCGGCGGCGGCCGGCTCGGGGCTGCACATCGCGGCSCGGCCAGCAGGAGGAAGGAAGAGGAAGTGAGAGCGGCGGGTGCCTGTGCGAGCCCCGGGATGGGATAGCGCCGGGGGCAGCCCAGCGCAGCGCACCGCACAGAGGCGGCGGCAGCGCGGAGCGGAGCGGAGCGCGGTTCCCGCGGCGGGGGCGGCGAGCGGCCCCGCTCTGCGCTGGGGCGRGGGTGCTGCCCACGCCGGGAGGTAGGAGAACCTCGGGTCCGGCGAGGGGACGCGTCAGCGGGACTGGCCGAGCGGTGCGGGGAGCGCGGGAGGCACGGAGGGCAGCGGGGGAGGAGGAACGGGACGGGGCAGGCGGGCGGCCGGCGAGCCCCGCACCTGCCCGGGCGAGCGCCGCAGCCGGTCCCCGCGGCGAGMGGTGCGGGGCGGGGGACGGCCGCTGTCGCTGCGAGAAAGAGGAAGCGCAGAGCTGTGCTTGTCAGTGCGGCGSGGCCTCGGACGGCGCTGCCGGCGGGGGGGCGGCCCGGAGCGGCCCGACCCGCCTCGCACAGCGGCTCCTCCCGCCGCCCTGCCCTCTCCGCCGGCCCCCGRCCGCCGCTGCCACAGCCGTCCGCTTCTCCCCGCCGCCACTTCACCGGCGCCTCCTCCTCCTCCGCCACCGCCTCCTCCCGCTCCGTCCCCGCCTCAGCCCCCTCCCGTGCCCCGGGCAACCCTGCTCGCCCCCGGCTGCTCCTGGTGGCCGGAGGCCGCTGGCGAGGGGCGGCGGACGGGAGCCGCGCACCTCCGGGAGCCGGGGGGTGAGTGGTGGCGGGGCCTCGCCCGACCCGGCGGGACCAACGCGTCGCTGCGCGGTGTTGGGGGGCCGAGGGGGGCGCGGGGGGCGGTGTGTGGGGCAGCGGCCGCGGCCGGACCCGCGTGAGTTAATGCGCTGGGTCAGGCCCGGGCGGGCAGCAAGTGTCCGCCTCGCCGCGGGCGCCGCTCGGGAGGAGAACCCTCAACTTTGAAGCAAGTGCATCCCCGCAKGCAGCCAGCTCCGAGCTCGGCGCTGGTACCCAGCCGCCGCCTCCGAGGGCATGCCTCCCCCTCGACCCGGCATCCCAGAGCTTCCTGGGGGCTGGTGGCGGTGGTGCTGCTTTTCCTAAGTTTATGCTCACACAAGTGATCAAACCGCTGATGAATTTCAGATGAAATGATTGTTCTGAAATGTGGGTGGCGATTATGCAAAGCCACAGTATGCATGCAGCCTTGTAAAGCAAGTGGGTAGTAGGTCTAAAAAGTTACATTTGTGAAGTTTTTTGGCTCAAAGCCTTTGCAAAGTTTATTTTGAATATCTTTTCCTTGCAGRACTAATACAACTGTTCAGCTCTCCCCCGGGAATGGTGTAAAGTAAATATAGGAGTTCCTGAAAAATAACAGTGAGTACATTTCAAATCAGCAACGTTTTGTTGTTAACTTTATAAGAATATCCCTTAACCTGCCAARGCTCTAAATGTGTAACAAACACATTGAGAGTGCCAATGATAATAACAGCGCAGGAAATGTACCGTGTGTTAATTGCTTTAGTATAAACATGGTTGTCTGTGAGCTCTGCTTCATGATACTGCAGTTATGGTGCAATTCCAGCAAGGGATGTTTTAAAGTATATTCATAAGCAAATGGGCTTCCTTTTGCTTTTATTCCTCAGCTGCCTTRTTGCCCTTGGTTAAAATATTTGTCTTTTGGGAGGAGGGGGAAATTGAGTAAGAACTGTGCTAAATCCTGTATCTCTGACTGGAGATGTTGTTTCCTCTTCTTTCCCCTTGTCTGTTTCTCCTCCTTTCCCCCAAATGCATGCACACATGCTTGCCATCTCATCTTCAGTTATGTAATCTCACAGACATTTATGGATCATTCATTGTTCACATTAGTCCCATTCTTTCCATGTCATCCCTGCTTGATTGAGTGGCTCAGGCAGAATATTACTGAGGAAAGAAAATACATTGAAATTTACATAAAGTTCTTCCAGTTTGAGCTGCAAGTTTGCTTTCTTTGAAGGTTTCCCTGATTCCCACTTTTTTTTTTTCTTTCTTTTTTTAGCTGTATAAGTAGGTGGTAGGGATCTAATCTGATGACCGGTAACTAGATAAGGAGGAGGAACGGCAGCGGTGACAGCTTGCTGGTAAAAGTCCCTCTTGTGTACTGTTAGCAAAATATCCATTAACACACGTCATAAAGCTGTTAGAAGTACTGCAGCAGCTTTAAAAAACTCACCAGTCAGAGAAAGGAAAGATTAATACGGTTAAAACAGGAACATAATGTGCAATGGRTGTTAGTAAAAGATACTGTCAGTGCAGTCTGTGGATCTGAGCATGTGAATTGACTCGTCTAGAGGCAAACCTGAATCACAGTTTGTTTATACTCGAGAGGTCGCACAGGGGTAGTTGACTTTATTTTCTCTCTCCTTGTAATCTCTTTGAAACTCACTGTGCACTGCAGTACCCCTGCCTTCGCTTGCAACTTCGCTATGCGTATCATTTTCTAAGGATTTATTGTAATGAATGATGTGCTCATGGTGGGGGAAGAAAACAGGTTTCTATACTTACATTTTGATATTTTTGCTTATATTTGTTATATGACAGGAAAAAAATTACAGGTGCATAATRTAGACAAATTTTGATGAGGGAGAGGAAAAGCTCTTACCTGCTTACTGTGTAGCAGTCTTGGTCATTCTTCAAAAGAATCTGCAGTTCCGCAGTCGTCATTATGTAACCTGACCATGGGTGGTGTTAAAAGCAAGTACTTCTGTATCCTTGCTGTTTGGGTGCAACATATGTATACATTGTGCTACAAAGTTATTTTTTAGTGCCCTTTCATTCTGGAACTCATCAAACAAAGCTTATTATGCCTCCTCAAGGTGTAACTGTTGCTGAAACCCCGCTGTGCGCATTGAACTTCCTGACAGMAATGCTGTTAAGTASCGAATTGCACATCAAGAGTAACGCSSTGCTCCACCCTTCCTTCCGCTCTTTGTTTTTTTCTACCTAGTAGAAGTCTCTTTGATTTTTTAGGTTTGGGCTCACAGACAGGGGTTCTCAGTGTCCAGCCTACAAAGTGGTGYTGGGACATGATCTCATGTTTTCCGTGTTGATACACAGGGAGCAGAGCTCCCATGTTCACACATAAGACTTGTTGCTTTCTTGTTTTGATGCTGTAGATGGTTTCAGTGTGCGATGGAGTGAGTGGCTAATGTCTATAGATTTAACTGTAGCTAGCAAAAGGTTTCCTCTGATCTCTGCCAGTGCACCTGCACACCAACATGCAATGTCCTCCTGTTCCACTGGCAGGCATTTAAAAAAAAAAAATTATTGCCAGCCACAATGTTTCCAATTCTGTGATTCTCAGATAAGGATTTGCTTGGGACTTAAATGAGGCCATCAAGTACAGTTTTCCTCTCTGGATGAGATTTTGCTATCACTTGATAGTCAGTTTCCTTGAAATAAACAAGCCCTTTAAAATTTACGAGCTCTCTTTGTCGTGCTGTGAATGTGCAGCACATCCTTTTATTAAAAAATACCTCTCTGTATTTGTAGAAGGTTATGGGATTTTGGGAACTCTAGGAGCAAGTAAAAGTACTGTTGTTTCTTCTACTCTATTTCTCTGCACTGTTATACCTGGGTCTAATAGACTTTCTCACCTGCTGTGTCCTGCACTGTCCAGAAAGTACAAGTTGAGTGAGAATGAGTTGGTCAAATTTGACTCCCCATTCAGTCATCATTCTATGACTTCAAAAAAAAAGATGTCCAAAAAAAAAAAAAAAAAAAAAAAAAAAACCCAAAAGGTTTTACAGTTATGTTGTATTTGTTGTTGCTTTAACATTTGAATCTACACATGGCTTTGTAGCAGCTATCAGACCACTGTTCAGCAAGGTATCTGCTGTATCTTTAGAAGATTTCCCTGCTTTGAGTGAGGTTTCTTTAAAAGAAAGTTTCTTGTGTTCGTGGCAAGAGGAATGTGCCAAGTACACATTGTTAAAATTGTGTCARTTTAACAGGGGAACTGTTTAAAGGATTTAGAATAATTTTTCTTCTACTTGAGTCAGTCACCTTTTCCTTTTTTTTTCTCTCTCTCTCTCTCTCTCTTCAAATATAACACTGGAAAAAGAGAGAAAGAGAAACTAAGAGCATTTGGCAGAAGTCAGTATGTTGGAAGGCATTTGATAGTACTGATCTAAGAGTGATAATATGTATGTGACACTTCAAATAAAATAAACTGCATACATATGGTTTTAGAGAGACTAATGGAAGAATAGTYACAAAATTGCAGAGCTGTTTTTTGCTCAGCATTTTTGCATCAAACTTTTTGCAAAATTTGGTTTTGTGGTGTGATGTTTCATTACTGCAAGTGTGAGACACAAAAGAGAGATTGAAGATAATGTCACAACCTTCCTGTGAGCTTCCTCTGTTTTCTGATCACTGCTAACGTTGAAGAGGMATATTAATGAGAAGTCTATGCTCCAGGGGATAGCTAGCATACTTYCTCTCCATTTCCAATCTGACAAAGGTAAACTTCTGTGTTCTGGGCAGATACCAAGTGGCTGGTGCCACGTATGTGGTGCCCATCAATGGTAAGGTACTGATTTCTCAATCTGCTGAGCAGATTGGGTTATAAAACACATGCCTGCATTCAAGAGCAAGGTGAAGAGGGATTCACATGGTGCTTGTTTGCAAACCCTTGGAAACGCATTGATTTGTTTTTCCTAATGGCAGGTTTCCAGTGTGAGTATTTGATCTGTCTGCAGTAGGCTTGGTTTCAATGGCTGCTAGGAGAGGAAAGTTAATTGTGAGAAGTTAGTGGACATGGCATTTTTGTGTTCAGCAGTGAACCACACTACAATAAAGACTTGAAGGTACTGCTGGTACCCTAYAGAATCCCCTATAGAAAAGTGATTTAGTTTATGTACAAATGAACTCATTTTGGTGCATTTTTAGGGAGTTGCCCTAGGGAGTTCTTTAGAAAGCTGGATATACTACCTGGAGATGTTATGCAAATACGATAACAGACCTATTCTTACCACCTTTGAGGACATAACTCTCCTTATTACTGTTTCTGCTGTGTTCCATTTCCAGTGAAATAGCACTGCAAAACTCCACAGGAGCTAGAACTAGCACAAGGGAGGGAGTGGGAGCTACCAGTCAGTGCTTAGGGAAAAGACTTCTCCTCTCAGATGGAATTAAGTTGATTTAAAGTGTTTCTGAAACATCATCTTCAAAAAAAGAGGCTGGGGGTGAGAAGGTGGGAAATAAAAAAAACCCCAAAAACTTATTCCCAAACAAGTCTATCACAAAACAATAACTATGTCCTAGCTGTGTCTATTTTCTCTTTTGCTTCTGCTTTCCTTCTGACTTTTATTTTTCAGAGTTAAACTCTTCTTGTAACTTCTTCTTCCATGTTTGCCACTTCTACTTTGWTACCTAATTCTTTGGTCTTTTGATGTATTTATCTATCCCAGCTTTCATGATTTCAAGGTCTTTGCCCGGTCCTTAAACTCTTTACCCTTGGAACCCTTAGGTTATTATTCCCATAAATAATTCTATTTAAGACTTCCAAGAAAAGTTGTGGCCTGAAGTGTGTCTCATCTCCTATGTTCTTAGAATATCTTACTCWAAGTGTTTATGTACAGTCCTAGTTTATGGTGCAGCATATGAAGTGTAAAATTGTCTCTGAAATATTGTGCCATCAGGGCCTGTTTAATTTTTTTAAAGTCAGCTATACGGATGCACATGTAATAACATGGCTCTTTTTCTTGTTGATTTTGCTTCAGCTGAAGGGGAGGATGGGTCACTGCTTTTAAGAGAAATTCAGATTCTGGAGATGTGATGGCATTAAATTCCCATTCTTTAATACAGCAGAGGAAGCTTGCTTGAAGATTATCCTATTTGCCAGAGCTTTTTGCAACCCAGAGTGTGCATGAACCTGGACAAAATGCTCCTTTAGAACCTTAGTTTCCCCAATAAAAATGTATAAATTTGACAACCCATATAAAATACTTCCAACATTTTGAAGTTACAGAAGAGGAGGTATATGCAGRGTTTGACAACAGGTTCAAATAATGCTGTCAGCACTTCCACCTTCCTCCTTCAGCTGAGATTTTTGTGTTTTCTGAGAGTAGATGACTGGTGCTAATCAGAGGTGGCTTACTTGTAGCTCGTTGTTAGCCTCATAAAAAATGGGAAAAGTCAGGTCTCCTGATGTAGCATGTTGTAAACTTCCATAGAATTCAGCACGTAGTTGTCCTTTCCTTCAATTGGGCACATGCTGTAATTTAAAAGTGTACTTTGATTATATATACTTGTGTTTGCCAGCTTGAAACCCACCTCTGTTTCTTCTGATGGTGACTTGATCTTTTATATGCATCTCCTGAGGCATAAATGTTGGG